GAATTGGCCAAGCGCAGCCCACTACGGGCTAGGCCAGGCCTGCCCTTGACGGGCCTTGTTGCGGACCGTTCCGCCATGTGGGTCGCGGGTGGCACGACCAACCCGTGGACCTCAAACCCCAACCTAGCACGACACAGACCATCATGTCGGGCTTGGCACGGCCTATAGGCTATCGTGTCGTATCGGGCCGAACCGATCCAACTTTATATCGAACCACAGGCGGCCCAACCCAATTTACACCTCTACACCTAATATAAGAATAAACCACATTTGACACCAATTCAATGTGAAATTCCCAATCTAATTTAGTAATCAAATGGTCTATAAATACTAAGGGTGTGTTTGATACTACTTGAAATTTTAGAGATATGTATTGCCACATATGAGAATCACTTTTCGGGAATGATTAGATTTCACTTCCTTGAAACAAGAAATGTTAATTTGATATCATCAATAATGTTCAGTTCCATACATACAAATTTAAGGTATACCGTATACTCAAGGTTCTAAATATATATCCATAGAGACGGATACGATGTTAATTTGATATCATCAATGTTCAGTTCCACACATGCAATTTTAAGGTATACTCAAAGTTTTAAATATTGATAGAGACCCTGTATCGGTAGGCACTTCTTTTTTTAACTTTTTTATCAAACCCATTCGGGGGAGTTGGTATAAAGCCTGTCTACCCCTGAAATAGGTCAAACGGCGAAGCAGTCCTTATAATAGCATATCAGTGGGTCAAACCATGAAACAATATCATATCGGTCGATATGTTGCAAAAATTTGATCCTGCTTATATTTATTTCAACTATAAAACTAGCCACTAGATTGTATTGATGATGCAGTGTAAAAGAAGATTAATAAGTTCTATACAAGTTGGGACAATTATGAGATACGTAAAAAGTGGAAATGATGTCATCGGTTCAACTTAGTAAATATTTACTGAAGTAGTATCATCCCGGGATTTCTATCTTAGTTCGTATAAATTTCTATTTTTGTTCATAATTACTAAATTAGCATTATAATAGAATTTTTGAATTTGTATTCAATTAAGACTTTCTTTTTAAAAAGATTTAATAAGATTGCAATTGTTTTATTAGATTAGGAAACTTCCTTATAGAAGGCATAAGAGTGTAAAGAAATTTATATAAAGAGTAGATAGGGCAAAGTTTAGAGGACTTTTTAGTTGATTTTTTCTTAATTATTCAGTAAAGAATTATTCTTTCTGTTTATTTCAACTTTTTCTCTTTTCTTTAAAACTTTTATGAATGTGGTTTATTTTTCAAATTGCAACAATTGATCAATGGAGATCAACCCAAAACACTTCAAGTAGAAACAGCCATAATACCAAACACGACCAGATGTTCTAATACCAAACACATGTCAATATACAAGGATCCCTCCCCTTTATTGATTATTTCAGTAAAAAGCCTCTCTCACATAGGCTCGGGCCACTATAGGATCTTCTTAATACCCATGCTTTCCTTGTATTTTAACGAGTCATGCTTCATATCTATGCCCATTCTGTAGTACAATAAGACTCATTTGACATCAACCCTTTGGTTAAATATCGCTCCTCATTACATTAATTAGGACAGTTCCTAGCATCTTGGCAGCACAAGATGAAGTCTAATGCAATTTCATTTGTACTGGTGCAAAAAAGTATGAGAGTGCAATTGTGCAAACAATTTAGCTTTATATATATATAAAATTTTTTTCGAAGGCATGAAGTAAAAGTGAAGTAGAATTTGCACTCCTTTGTACTAGTATAAATGAATTTACACACTAATACATACAAATAGAGCCTTAGGTAGGACATTCTAGTACCACTCTTGGGAGTAATATTTATTAAAAGAAAATTCATTCTAAAATGAACCAATTATTATCAACCATTATATAATAATATCTATCTTTAAAACATCATATGATTTAAAGTCAATCTGATTGGACAATGTAACAGAGATGGTGAGAGGCATGGCTTGCATTTCTCAACTTCCTCCTGGAAGAATAACCGCAAAGCATGAAAGTGGAAAGAGTATGGAAGAGAGAGAGAGAGAAACTAATTGGGTAAAAGCCCATTTGATCTTATCATTTATTAAAGAATTAGTGATTCTTGGTCAAAACCCTAAACCCTAGCACAAGTTGCAGAATTAAAGGCTTTATCATTAAATAATGATTTATTTGCCTCTCATCAACTTTCCATGATCACTCTTCATCCAAACAAACTCGCTTGTGTTTTAAATATAACAATGCTTGGTAAAGTTAGTATAATTTGCACTTGGGATTTTCTACTCACTTTATCAATTTTTTACCCGCTGTGAATTGGAGTCACACATCTCTATTATGAATTGAGAAGAAATGTGAATAAAAAATCTGGGCTCTATAATTTGCATGCATGGTAATATAACAGATGGACCCACTCAATCCTAGCTGTGAAAGGGTGATCCACGCTATCACGGTTTCACCCATAATCCCTAAAGCATTTGGGTCTAATCAGCTGCAACAGGGTGAACCAGCAGGACTGCTATTGGACTGGACCGACCTGATTTAATAAGGGTGCGTTCGGTTGTTGCTCCTTTAGTTTTTCGTTTTTTTTTTTTTATTTCATTGGTGAACGATTCATTTTACGTTTAACCATTTCCTTTTAATTATTCCTACACAAAACTATAGCCATTCAATTGGAATCTAAATATTCCTAAACAAAACTAGAGCCACGGCTATACCTTAATACATCAATGAGCCAAAGACCACCTAATAGAGTGCTCTTTAATATATAGTTTCTACAAAGTACAAATCACTTCTCTTAAGCCTCATTTCTCAAATGAAGAATCTACCTACTTGTTTTAAAGAATGGATCGATGACTGGTTAGATGGTTAGCAATGCAACTTCTGAGCTGTGATCCTGATCATTATCTGAATCTTTCATCTATGAAGTTGTGGAGAAGTCAAGCTTGCAGTTTCGCGCATTTGGAGGAAGATGAGGGGCAGTTTGGTGATTAAAATGAAAGAAAGGGTGAAGAGAGCTGGCTTTCTTAAGAGCAATGATGAAGAGGAACACAAGCAAAGGTGGTATACCGGTCCTAGCAGTATCAGAAATTCAGAATACGGAGATTATATTATGTGGGGGCCAAAGACGGGAATCTCAGTAACAACCTCTCAGCTTGGCATACGAAATTGGAAGAATTCAACTCGGATCTCTGAATTTCTGTTTCTTCCTTCTTAATTTCCTCCTTTCTCTTACACTCTTTCATCTCCTCCATCTTTAGGGCCTCTGCAACTGCAAATCTTTTCAAATTTTGTCTGGGTTTTATTTATCTTGTCTATTTTATGCTCTCTTGATTTCGGATTTCATCAGGGTTCTCTGTGAAACTTCTGTTCCTTTACTTTTCTATTGGTTGCTGAAAACTGACAAAGACCACCCTTCTCTTTTAACCAGCTTTTCTGTTGCTACTTGGTCTTCAGGTTAGAACAGTCTAATACAGACACCAGCTCGTACTTTCTCTTGTATCACAGGGGAGAGAGAGAGAGAGAGAGGGAGCAGCTTGTTCTATTTAGAGGTGAAGTTTTGTTGTCTATATGGTTGTTTCTATTAACTGATGTAGCAAAGCAAAGACCCATTAATCAAGAAGACCCCCCACATCACCGTCCAAAACCAAGAGAAAAGACAAAGGCAGAGAGAGAAAATGTATGAAGAGACTCAGTACTATGATCCTCATGATCCTCAGGAGATGCCAGGAACAGAATCAGTCGATATTCCTTCTCAGACTGTTACAAACTGCTCAGGCTTAACACCACTCATAAGCAGCTTACAAGCGAGCCTGAGGCTCTCCAGTTCCTCCACCTCTGAGGACATGCCAGACCACCACAATCCCTCCGGCGATACCAGCGCCTCTCCGGTTGCTGCCTCCATAGGAATTGACCTCCAACAGCAGCTCGGCTTCGAGTTGGAACACGAACTCAACAACCAGCTGATACAAGACTTGCTCCACGACCCCACCCCGGAGCCGTTCAAACAGCCCAATTGGGACGCTGAGGAGCAGGAGATGCAAGATTTGAGTTACCAGAATGAGCAGCCACTGCTACAACAATATCACCAAATTCATGACCAAGAGGTCCAATACCAACAGCAGCAGCAGCAGATAGATCTACAGCATAATGTCCACTGTTTCAATCCTCCCTTCGGCCATCCGCCATACACTACCACGCCGGACCTTCTCAACCTTCTACAGTTACCCAGTTGCACGGTATCCTCTCTGCTCCCCAATTCATCATCCATCTCCTTCACGAACAGCAGCAAGAAGCGTCCTAATTATCAGAATTCATTGGACATTTTCGGGGAACTGCCAGTTGCAGACAACACGGCGGTAACGACGGGCTTCTATGACCACCCACCATTTCATTTGAATCTACCTCCACAGCCCCCAGTGTTTAGAGAGCTGTTTCATTCATTGCCACAGAACTATAGCTTTCCTGGATCAAGGAACGATTCTTTCTTTGGTGGATTGGGTGAGAGAGAGGTTGCTGGTGGCGTTTATCAGGATGGGGATGGGAGGCAATTTGAGAACCCAGTATTGGACTTCAGGAGAGAGATGAGTTGCTTAGGTAACGGAGGAGAAGCGAAGGGAGCTAATCACTTTGCCACTGAGAGGCAAAGGAGAGAACAATTGAATGAGAAATTTAAGGCTTTGAGGCTCCTAGTTCCAAACCCTACAAAGGTAATATAATATCCCATAAATCTCTCTCTCATTTCCAGTCAATCAATCCCAGATAAAAGCACAAAACTGTTTGATAAATTATTTCATTGATTAGTTCTTTGTTTCTTAATTTATCTCTTTGTCTCATGTGACAAGGCTGATAGAGCCTCCATAGTGGGAGATGCAATTGACTACATCAAAGAGCTGCTCAGAACGGTGGATGAGCTCAAGGTATTAGTGGATAAGAAGAGAAGTGGGAGACGGGGGAACAAGAAGCTAAAGACTGAGAATGAGGGAGCTGGTGACATGGAGAGCTCTTCGGTGAAGCCACTTGGTACAGTCACTGATAAGGAGCAGTCCTTCAATGGATCATTAAGGAGCTCTTGGCTCCAAAGGAAATCTAAAGATACTGAAGTTGATGTTCGTATCATTGATGATGAGGTGACTATCAAGCTAATACAGCGAAAGAGGATGAATTGTTTGCTTTTTGTGTCGAAGACACTGGACGAGCTCCAGTTGGACCTCCTCCATGTTGCCGGCGGGAACATTGGAGATTATTACAGTTTTTTGTTCAATACCAAGGTAATTTTTTTTTCTTTCTGTTTCCTTTCTGATTAGCCTTACGACCATGGATTGTTTCTTGTAAATGTGGGTTTTGTTTATTATGCAGATATATGAAGGCTCTTCTGTGTACGCCAGTGCAATAGCTAAGAAACTCATTGAGGTGGTGGATAGACAGTATGCAGCTCTCCCTCCTGGTAGCTTTTAGAATTTGAGAGTTCAAAGAATGAGTTTAGTTGTTTCTCATTTAAATTACTGAAAATGAAGGTAGTGGAGGCAAGAAAGGAAGATATATAAACAGAAATAAGTTGGTGTGGAAGGACATTCTAGCAGTGTTTTGCTATTTCTTCATGTTTTTCTTGTTTTTTCTATTGCTATTTTTCAAGTTTAATGCAAGGATTTGGTTCTCCTGTTGGCTAGTGAAAGAATTGAAGTTCTATTTTCATGCTAACCTCATAATATGAAAAGCTGGGCAGTTGGTTTTTTATTATTTCATATCAGTGCAAAGAATGATTAAATGCTTATGTTTTATATTTAAAATTAAAATGTGAACTAGGATTCATCTATTTAGTTATTATGAGGATTGAAAGATTAATTATACATTTAGAACTAATTTTAGTTATCAATATTTTCCTCTTTCCTCATTTAGTTAGTCTTCTTAACATGTTATATTGCCTATGATTCAGGCATATATAAAACTATTTTATGGCTATGTATGTATAACATTATATGATTATGGGGTTTAATATTATATTTATTTAATTACAACTGGTAGATTTCAGAACACCCATAAGGTTTCAGAATTTAATTTGTATTAATTAGAATGTATTTCCTTCTGACTATGAAAAGAAAAAAAAAAAAAAAAAAAGATGAAATTTTATTTCCTTACATTATTATGTGTGAACCTTCTACTACTGTTGCCGCCTATGTTAGTGGTTGGGGGATTCAATCAATCCAAAGAATTATCAGCAATATATTTGTCAAAGCTCTTCAATTATCTCCTTAAAGGTTTTGAGATATATTAAAGATGAGGACTAATAGGATCTGATTCCTGAGGCTTTAAATTCTAGACCCAGCACACCAAAGCCTGTCATGGGAGGCCTTTAGGCATTTAAACTGTAATACTTTGATGTTCACAACATGCTAATTAGTACCAGTAAGCTCTTGTGCCTTCCTGATCATGGAGCCAGAGTAGACCTTTAACAAATTTAGGATCATGAGAACATGGAAATAAGGTTGCTATGGATTCTAGTTGCTTGTGTTATAAACCTAAGCCCTCTGATGTCTGATCTTTAGGAAAACTATGAAACTCGTATGTAACTCTTCTTTATATGGAGGTGTATTTGGCAGACCAACCTTTTAGAACTTCTTCCTTCTTCATTGAACCAGTTTTGCATGTTTCTTTCTGCCTGCAGGGAGTTATATACAGTTTGGTCCACGGAACATTGACAATGGAATTAAGTGGGCATGATGATGGCTAAAATTAGGCCAATTGTCTTTTGAATTTTGAATTGAAGACTATAAATTAACAAGAACAATTCACATAAAACAATATTGCTACAACTATGATGAGAATAGTTCTAACCAAAATCTGTCCACCCAACCTGAAGTTTCATTAGTCATGAGAAAGGAAGCACAAGGTCGGGCTGGTGTTTGTGTGGACCAAAGGGCCTGTAATATATTGATGTTAGTGTAGTGTTTTGATAAACACACCAACCTGATTTTGTCAAATATATTTCAAAAAAAAACAAAATAATACAAAAACTAGAAGCTATTTTAACGGGTCAGATGGGTCAATGGTTCAGCATCGGGGTCGTTGACCAAGTCAATTTTTTTCTTGTAAATTGTAATATAGCGGTTAGTGGTTGAAGTAAACCAGAAATGTGACCGTGTTACTAGGTCACCAATCCGACAGATCAAATCAACGATGGACTGGAAATACTGATACAAAGTTACAAACTACACTTGGCTGTTATAATCACACGTTTAACCAATTACAAATAGAGTGGGGGGTTTTTGGCATTTCGAATGTTAATAATTACAAATAGAGTTGGGGTTTTTGGCATTTTGAATGTTAATAGATGTATAGTGGAATTCAGAAATTTGCATTGGGTCTTTTCGTACTTTTTCGTATCTATTTTGTTACAAATCCATATTCAACTATTATTGTAATCTGATACTCAACTAGTACAGACTGATACAAACCCATCCCTTACTGTGTTAACTGTTACAATATCATATTTGACCATCAAAAACTAATACAGGCTCGATTTAGAAAGAATACAAATATAAATATGTACAGTACAAATATATACAAAATACAAGGTTTTGCCTCTACATATTTGTATTTGTACTCTTACGAGATTAAGGTTAAGATCTAGTCTGGGAAAATTGCAAATACATGCAAATATGTACTGTATAAATACAAGATTTAGAAATATGGTATATAAAGTTTTATATTGAACATATTTGTATTTGCACTCCTCCCAAACTGAAGGCTCAGTTTGGATGGAAGGAATACAGATACAAATATATAGAGAGCAAAACCTTGTATTTTGCATTATTTCGTATGTATTTGCAGTGTAAAGTACAAATAATTATAAACCCATACTTGACCATCACAAACTGATATCAATTCTCACAAATTTGAATTACCATGTAAATTAACTCTGCTAAAAAATATATAGTTACATAAGCACAATTGCTAAGACTCAAGCACAAGTCACCTAAGTGAGAGAAAGATTCTTTTAAGTAAGTTACATAGCTAGAATTTGTTAAACTGGCATGTGTTTTGGTTTGAACTTTTTGAGCCACCTTTACCAAAATTTTCTTAGTAATATTGTCATCTAGAAAATTAAAAAAATAAAAAAACAAACAATAAATGAAATTAGTTTCTTTTTCTTGATTTGAGTCACTTTAATTCCTATACACCGTTTTCCTTTTCCTCTGTTATATCTTGATAGTTTAAGCTTCACATAAACCATATGTGCATATACATGGTCATTTGTGTGACGAGCGTAGTCTAATTGATATATTTTTGGGATTTATTGGAGTTGCTTGGTGTATTCATGCAAGTTTTGATTTTTCCACCATATCTGTGCATATCAAAAGTGTATCCAATAGTTTTAGAATTGCATTTTTGATACTTTGAACAATTGAACCTTACTCAGAAGTCGTGAACATTCCTTAAACTGCGACAATGACCCCAAAGCTGCACATATGGACTTAAATAGCCTATGACCTAGAGACCATGCGGTAGACAAAATAAAAGGTGAGCCAACAAATGCGGCCAACTAGAGACCATGCAGGACATTCTGGCCATGTGAAAACGATACAAGACTAAGTGAATCTTCCACAGTTCATATGCAACTGCACCCAATACATTAATATACGCATAAGTGTCAAGTAATATAGTGGCCCTTTAACCAGTGGATTGAGTAGACTGTACTGTAGGGTCTGGGACTACTGCTCAATGTGCTCATGTTGCGTTTGCGTCTTGCTAGTTGCAAGTAAATCTAGATAAATGAACCGTAAGAACTCAATGTATATTATAGATCTCTACTGCTGCCAACAGTTACCAGTCTAATTACAAGAAGTACAAGGAAAACATTGGATGAGAATTGTTAGATAAGCAGAAAATTCAACATTAACATTAGTTGAAGATTCAGTTCTTTTTATCAAAAAATACTAGAAGACACTGATTTCCACAGTACTCGCTACGAACAATAAGTTAACAAGTCAATGCACATCCGAAAAAACAAACTACTAGTTAAATATCACCCGATAGGTAAGGTCACTAAGGCCGAAGCTTCCTCATCAACCACTTCTTGCGGATTGTGGAATCCAGAGCCAGAAACATCTTTGCTTTTTGTTCATCCTCCAGCAGATCACAAGCATCTAAAAAGAGATCTTCATCTATATCTGGTATAGCCTGAAGTGCATTAACTACCTTTTCTAGTGTACTAGGGACCTCATTGTCTTTCTTTTTATTTGCCAATGATGTAACTGCATGTGCCATTTCACGAAGAGCTTCTATCATACACTCATCAGTGTTCCTTGGCATTTTTCTAGAATTTGCAAAGGTCAATGGTGCTACAATTGGGCGCTTGTTCTGTTGATTCAATGTATCCACGGCCCCAGCTGAATACGATGAAGATTCTTGTGTATCAATCACTGGATCTCCATGGGCAGCAGAGGTTGGTGACTGTGGCCCCTCTACTTCAATTTTCACCCCTGGGGTGTCTTCAGGATCAGCATCATGCCCGGAACAGCTGTGTCTTCCATCAGTACTTGAATTTCCGTATATCACACACAAGTCATTATAGTTTGGCAGAGTTTTAGTTCTATATGATCGCACTTCTGGGTGTGCCTGCATTAACCTTATGTAAGAATGTAACATACTAGCTAGATGAAAATTAGCACATCACAATGTAAACCATATAAATATTTGCACCTTGAGATAATCATCCCAAACAATATCTGCAGCTGTAACCATTTGTCGTGTTTCATCCCAGCAAAACCCACTATGGTCCAGAAGAGTTTTCATAGCATTGTATTGCATCCTCAATTTTCTATGTCGATTCTTCAAAGCATCCTTGTCTAGTTCTAATCCAAATTTTGAATTGAACAGTGCAAGCATTTGTGTCCATGCTTCTTTTCGAAATGCACTACCAATCTTGCACCCACTACTTATCTGTTCTAACATAATATCCATGAAATAACGATCCATTGGAGGAGTCCAGTTAGTCTTCAAATGATCAATACTTGGAGGGTCTTGGTTATCCATTCCTCCAACAAATAGGGAAGTCCTATGGGAAAAGAAGAAAACATTCTTTTCGTCAAATGCATGTCAAGTTGCCAAAGGAATATACATTAATAATGCCACAGTTGGCCCACAAAGTAGCCAACTAATGAAAAACAACCAAAAAATAGAAAATTGAAATGACCAACATCCTTAGAGTTGTTTCAATTTGGCATCACCTTACCACACCTGGATCTCCAGGAACAACAGACACAGCTGGTGATTGTGAAGCCCCTGAAACTCCAGAAATTTTGACTTTAGGAGTGTCATCAGCAAGATTTGCATCATCAACTGATCCATGGTAAGCAGTTTCGTTTCCATATATCACGGACATATCTTTATAATTTGGGACAGTCTTAGTTCTATATGATCGTGCTTCAGGGTGAACCTACATGAATCATGATTTAGCTACTTGTAAATTGATAATTTCATATGGTAGGCTAAGAGCCTAAGATAAAATGGATAGTGGGAAATATACCTTCAGATAATCATCCCAAACACTATTGTCAGCTGTTACCATTTGTCTTGTTTCATCCCAGTGAAACCCGCCATGGCTAAGAAGAATCTTCATGGCATTATATTGCAGCCTCAATTTTTTGTGGCGGTTTTTCAGGACTTCCTTGTCCAAATGGAATCCAAATTTTTCATTGAAGGATACAACCATTTCCTCCCATGCTTTTTTACGAAATATATTACCATTTTTATGCCCTTTATGAACCTGTTCTATCATAATGTCTATGAAATAACGGTCCATCGTCGGAGTCCAATTTGTCCTTGAACGCTCACTACTGGAGGGGACTTGATTATCCATTCCTTCTATCCTTTCAGGACATCTACCAAATTAATTAATAACTAATCAGGAAACTTGCTCCCAAACATAAATTTATCATATATCCAACATGGACATTTTCCATGAGAAAATTAGCAAAAGAAAACAGAACAAAAATGACTGAGATAGCACAACAGCTTTTGTACCTTACCAAACAAAGATCTTCACGGCCAGTTGGTACTGCAGGAGATTGTGGATCTGCAGTAACTGCAACAATCTCCATTCCTGAGATACCATTATCAAGCTTAACATTGTGATCTGAACAATCAGTTGCTCCATCAACAGCTTCCTTTCCATAGATTATGCATAAATCATTATAATTTGGCACTGTTTTGGTTCTGTATGTTTGTGCCTCCGGGTGTACCTTTATATATAGTATGTTAGTTAATGTCATGAATAGTGAATGTAAATAAACAGTGTAAAAGAAACACACCTTAAGATAATCATCCCAGACATGATCATCTGCTATAACCATTTTTCGTGTCTCATCCCAATGAAATCCGTTTTGGTCAAGAAGAACCTTCACAGCATTATACTTAAGCCTCAACTTCTTTGATCGATTCCGTAAAATCTCCTTGTCCAACTGTGATCCAAATTTTGCATTGAACAAAACAACCATGTCTTCCCATGCCTTTTTTCGAAATGTATTCCGAATTTTATTCCCTTTATGCACTTGTTCTATCATAATGTCAATAAAATAGCGGTCCATTGTTGATGTCCATTTAGTTCTAGGACGGTCACCACTTGGCATAGTTTGAATGGCTTGGATGTCTGTTCCTTCCATTCCTTCTACAAATGCATAAGGCCAATTAATGTAAGCAATCACTAAAATATATTATATATAAAGAGAAGATTCAAAAGCCATGTTCACTGGAAAATAACAAAAAGGAGAAAAGTAAGCATGACCAAGTAAGGCTGGTACGTTTTAAGTTTTTCATCACCTTACCATTCTTATTTTTTCAGTAACAATTAGAAGAGTTCTGTTTTAGCAAGGATGACAAACTCCTAATGACAAGTACAATGGTACAAGGTAATCCCTTCCCTTGCCAAAGCATCTGCTAAGCTATTCATAGATCTTAGAATCCACCTAAGTGGATTGTTCAAAATCAGTGCTCGTTTGGGAGGGCTTTCGGGGCACGGCTTCTGGCATTCTGAGCTGGGCTCCACACAGAAATCTCTGAAGTTGTGTTTGGTGAAAATCCAGAAAACCAACATAGGCATTCCAAATGCCAGAATTGTGACTAATATGAAGCTATTCTGAGTAGCTTATCCAGAACCCGGGTGCTCAACCAAAGCAGTTCAATTAATGCAACTCACCCCAAATGCAGAAGCCATCCCAAACGGGGACTTAATGACAAAGCTTTTGCTTATACACCCAATTACCTCCCACTACCACCACCCAAAAAAAATGGAAGGAAAAAAAAATTTTTGGGGGCGGTAACAGTCATCCTTGATTAGTGCAATCAGTGTTGGTTAATTCATGGATATGGAAAGGAAAACCAACAATAATGGGAGAAACATGGACATGACTCTTTGTTTCTTAAAACCCACGTTGAGGATACATGTAACCTATCATATTCGTTTATACCATGCTTTTATTTTTAGAAGTGCTCTTCATGTGACACCTAGGAGACTTGGCAAACTAGGAACCTTACCAATGGATTGCATTAAGATCTGAGCAGTAGGAAGTAATAATGTAGTGATACTTTTCTTTAATTTAGGGAATGTTGGCCAATGTGAATGGTGTTGTTTTCTAAAACAAAAACTGCAATGTGAGAAAAAACAATACATTTTTGCTGGAGTGATGTTTTTGTTTCAGAAAACAAAATCATATACTTTGGAAACACCCCCTTAGTAGTACTCTAACTAATCAGAAGCATACCCCACCCTCCATACAAAGACCAAAAATACTGAACATAATATTTAGTTTTATAGAAAACGTTTTCAATAATATTTAGTTTTATATTTTATAGTAAAATAAAAATTTACTAAAGAAACAAAAATTCATACAAGTATATAAGCCCTGGCCCAACCAAAGCCAGAGAAGAGCACAAAAACCCAGCAGGGACCAGGGAGCAACATCAACCTGAAGATACATCCTAAATAAGGCCTTTATACACAAGAAAAAAGCTGACTCAAAGTAAACCCCCATAAACCAATAAGAAACCTTGCCCAGCCAAATCCCCAGATTACTTGGCAAGAAAACCACCAACCTCAAAACATGGCTATCTCAAAAAAGCCTTGCCCCCCTGCCCCCTCTACCCCTTTCTCTTGTAGTCCTAAAGTGAACTTTGCAACTCCTAGCTGGTTTTTTCTCTGATTCTAGAGGATCTATCTCAAGGTTTCTTCACCCCCCCTACCACATATCACACCCAGTTCCATTAAATCCCTACAATGTAGGCCCAAATCCTCTCATTCACTTCCGCAAACGCAGTCCAGTAAATCCCTATACAGTTTAGTTGTGTTAAAATAATGTAATACAACTACATCTCTTTTATATGATTAATTTTTTGTATCTTTAATACAAGTAATTCTTCATGGGAACAAAGGTTTTCAATATTCAAGGTTTGATGTAATAGAATATGCAAAGATGCTCATTTGATCTTATTTGAATACCCAAAAGGAAGCTCTCAGATCTGAAAACAAGTAAAAAATTCTGCAAAGGAGTTCTGGATTCATTCCCAGGCTCCCAGATCACAAAAGGATCTGAGGCAAGAAGTTGAAGAAAACTACATGTCCTTTGGTGGGCCCAGCCGCTCCCACCACTACTTAGGGCATGCCTCTGTTGTCTTATCTTCCTTTAGGCTGTGTTTGGGCGGAATGTTTTTGATTTCAGCTTCCATTTTATTCTACAGAAATGACCCCCCCCCTCTTGTGGTGTTTTTTGAGGTGATGATTAGCCTTGAATTGTATTTATTGAGAAATGGAAACTTCTCAGAATCTGAAAGGATGGAGAGAAGACAGTATAAACAGATTAAAGTTGCCCAAGAACATGGCTGGACAAGATGCTAATTTGAATTCCATGTTTCAGTGGAATTCACCTATGCTACCCAGATATGACAAGGGCATGGCTGGACAAAGTGTCAGTTACCAGATTTACAATAAAAATTGAAGTATCTACCATGCATAAAATAGAGGTCTGAGTATTATAGGAAATCATTATTTCTCCCAATTCCATTATGCAATAAAGAAACTACCTATGATGGAATATGGAGATTCAAAGAATCGATAAATTCAATTCCTCCTCTAATTCCAAATCCACCGTAATACAAATGTCACCTTAGGTGTTGATGGGTTTGGTTTAGATGGTTAAAAAAGTTGTCTTAGTGCATGAGACCCACTTGAAATAAAGTTCATTCAATCAAGTTGCAAGTTCATCAAATATCTTTCAATCTATTTTTTAGGGGCCAAAACTTGTCACTTTTGTTTGATTTTGGTGTCATTAGATAGATTGTATACCCAACAAGACCAAGATCTTGTAGTTGTAGATCCAATGTGTTGTAAAAGAGTTATGACTGTATTACTGATAGAGTGTCAATTGGCTATGGGAATCGAGTTTCTTATTTTTCGGGAATTGTAATATTAGTAGAAAAGTGTTCTAATGCTTGGCCCATCCTTTATTCTATATAAAGTCTTTGTAAGACCACAGAAAATTAGAGTGATTGAGTAAATCCATAAAGCATTGAATTCCATATTCAAGAATTGCTATTCTTGGAAGGGGTTTTCCTTTTCTATTTTTTTTTCCTTCTCCCTTCTTATTGGGTAAGATCAAAAATTATTCTAATCGATTTTCTATTTCTTTCTATCAGATTTGATTTCTCTTATGGCATTAAACAGAACAGAATGGTGGTGAGATAGGATTCATGTTGCCAATCCCATATAGCTGGATATGGATTGGGATAAGGCTTGGATGATAGTAATGATGATGAGATTTGATTTCTCTGCTGATCTCCTTTTTTTTTTTTGCATTCTTACATGGTTCTTCATTACTTCTTGGTTGTTTCTTGAGTTAGTTCTGCATCTTTCTTGGTTTCTTGACTTTTTTGCTTAAGAAATATCCTTTCTTGAGTTGTTGCTTGATGAAACCTATTTCACCAGGATCTTTATTGTTGCTTGCCTCCTTAGACCTTAATAATTTGTCCAAAAGGGAAAAGGAGTGAATCTTTCATAACTAGGAGAAATAGCCTAGCCCCCAAAAGCTCCATATTTGGCCCCTACCATTGCAAAGGAAGATAGGGAACATAAAAAGCATGTTTCGAAGTAATGAAAGGAAAAAATTCAAATGGCTGACTAGGGACATTGAGGTGAAATACAATTGGGTGAAGAAAATTGCTAACTCAATTGTCTATGGGTTAGCCAAGCAAGGGGTGAATAGGGATTCTTTGTTTTGGTTAATTTCTAATTCCTTTTTCTTTGTAATATGCTGGTGGGGAGTTAAGACAGTTTACCTCCCCCTCTCTTGTAACTAAATTCTCATATTTTTAATAAAGTTTATTGTTATTGATAAAAAAAAAAAAAACATTTTTCGGAGTAGGTAGGATATGTTGTAGAAAGAATAAGATAAACACTGTTTCAGAAGAAGCTGTTAACAAGTTTAAGTTGAGAGAAGAAAAAATTGTGCTTCATATCATACATGGGTCAGAAACCTATTGATGCAACAGGAATGCAGTGGGCTAGAACCTAGAAACCGGGAAAATATAAACTTAGATGGAGAAAAAAGATAAAAAGGCAAAGGCAGAAGAACAAGGTTTTCCTTTTGGCTTTTACTCTATTTTCTTATTTTGTAACATTTCAACATACATAGATGAAAAGGTATCTGCCTTTCACAGATCTAGAACTATCTTTTTAGAAACCCAAAAAAGGACACAAAAACATAAGCCATAAATTAAAAGAAAATTAACGATTCACCCCAACAGCCATCATTTCAAGTTGAACACTAATTTAGTTATCAAAAAAAAAGGTCCAACACTAATTTGTAATTTTCCCAAGATCTTTAAAGTGCATAAATTTTCCAGAAGCTAGAAGCTTGGTAAAGATATTGGCAAGTTGGTCTTCAATCTTGATGAACTTCAATTCAATTTGCCCCTTCTCACTAACTCTCTGAATAAATGGTGTCTCAACTCAATGTGTTTTGTCCTTCCATGAAAAATTGGATTTCTTGTCTTCGAGCTGAGGAGTTGTCACAATATATGGTTTTTCAGCCTTCTTATGCATATTGAAGATCTTCAAAAGTCTTTTAAGCCAAACCGCTTCACATGCTTCACTAGTGGCTGAAATGTATTCAACATCAACTAAAGAAAGTGCTACTGTATTTTGTTTCTTGGATGACCAAGAAATCACCTTACAACCCAAAGTAAAAATATATCGAGATGTGCTTTTCTAATCATCTAATAAACCAGCCAAATCACTATCTGAATAACCAACCAACTTGCAATCATATTCACATACATATTTTTCAGTCCAAAACTTTTTGTTCCTTTCACATATCTAAGGATTCTCTTTGCTGCCCCAAAATGATTTTTACTTGGCTTGTTTAAGATGCAAATCAGTCCTCAAATATTAGGTGTAAATTTGAAGATTAGAAGAAAAGGAAGAAGAGAAGTAAGAGCAGCAATACAAGAGAAGAAGATGGCGAAAAGAAAAGGAAGAAGAAGAAAAAATCGAATCATCTCTCCTTTCTCCTCTAACCCTTTTTTTATTAAGAATTAAAGTTAGAGTAATGACAAGTATGCCCTTAAGTGGGCGGCCAGTTAGGCATTAACATAAAGAGATTAAACAAAAAAGAAATA